TGGTTGTCATCTTTTGCTTTATTAGCTAGATTAGTAAGAACCTTCTTCCTAGTTTATGTAGTTATTAAAGCCGCCTTACAATACATATTAACAGACCTTTTAACTCTCTGACACTTTTAACATCTTATCTCCTGATCCAGGCATTTCAAAATCCTGGCTTCAGCTTTGGGAGGGGCCGGATCCGTGACTTATTCACTTCACCAACATTGATGATGTTAGTTTTAGATAGGTCTGAATGTCTTTGAACAAAAGCCGACCAAGACAGATATAATACCCCAAATACCTACCAGTCTTCATCATTTCTGACTTGTAGTTTCCTTTGTACTCTTAGCTAGGCTATAAAGCCTCGCCAGACTTACATTATGTTAATTTTAACACTGAACTATTAAAATTAAGTAACCCAAAGTCCACCGCTAAACATCGAGGAATTTGAGGCTTTTGAACCCTTTCGAATCCAAGGCAGACCAAATACATACGATTTATACAGACTCTTATATTCTGACCTCGTTTATGGAAGCGATTACGACGATCTTCAAAGAAGACTTGAACAATATTATATAAATGATTGTTTGATTGAACAAATAACTCATCAAGTAACCAACAATGAATTGGGCTATGACCCTCGAGTAACCCAGTTGGAGCAATTTGGTGATTTAAGAATCCCAAGAAAAATTCGAGAGGTTGTTTTTGGATGATTCTTTATCAAATTTCACTCTATCATATTTAGCTTTACATCCCATACAATCCAACTGATACAACCGTTGGTGGACAAACGGGAGAAGCTGGAGGCAGCGGTGAAGGTGGAAGCAGCGGTGAAGGTGGAAGCAGCGGTGAAGGTGGAAGCAGCCGTGAAGCTGGAGGCAGTAGCCAGCATGCCAGTGGAAGACGTCGTTCTCGTGATGATGATGGCAACGGAGGAAATGGTGGAAATGGTCAACAACGCGGTGCTGGGCGAGGCCGTTACGATTGAGGGAGAGGAGGAGATGGAGGCGATAATTGAGAGAGGATATGGCGATAAATGAGGATGAAATTTTGAGAGAATTGGAGAGAAAGGATCACTTTTACAAAGTTATTGGAATGGAACGAAAATTGTCTTTAGTTACACACTTTTTAAATCCTCTATTAGAGTACCTCTACACTTTAGCTGACAGAAAAATTTGAAGAAACCTAAATTCAGAGTGAAGATTTCCGTATGTTCGTGTACTTGCAGAAGGGATATTAGCGTATAAAAATAACCAAATACCGGGTCAGGGGTGGGCGCATTGCGTTCTGCGTCTTGCGTTAAATTTTGGCCTTGCGTTGCGTCTTGCGTTTTTTGAGATTGTCTCTTACCACTGTACCGGGTTGTGGTTGTGAGATATTCGGACTGGGTCCATTCCACGATAGTTCTATTCTATCCTCCATTCAATGAATATTCCGCAACATAAAATTCAGTAAGACTTCTCTATAAATATACACCCAATACCTCAATCTAAGATGTGGCATTTCAAACTTTGGATGGCCATAGGGTGAGGGAGTTCTGCCTAATTGATACCTTCTATTTAAGACACACCTCAATACAAGGCAGGGTTCGGATCTAGAATTTTTAAAAAACCCCCAAATTTTGAGCTGAAAAAAGTTCAAACGCAAAAATTAAATTAAAATCACTATAAACGCAAAGTACCAGAATTCTCATCGACCTATCAAAGAACCGGAAAATAGGGGAAAATCCGCACATATCTGGACCTTGTTATAAGCGTACAATTTTTCAACCTAAATGTGTCTGATAGTTAGGTCTGGATTAAATATAGTATTTTGCAAAATAGAGTGGTATTATAATAGAGGATTTAGGGTATATAAATTTGTTTCTTTTTTTGGTGAAGATAAAAGTAAGAAAGCATAAAGAATTTTTTCTCGACATTCATTAAATAATTAAAATCTTTCATTATTAAAATATTACCGATTACTATTTGCACATTTTATTATTATTTGCTCTTAAAGCATGAGGAAATACTGTGCGAAATACCGATAACTACCTTAAATTCATACCGTATATGCTCTAATAATTACCCTGGGTAATTATTGTTTCGACCTCTAGATGGAGGGGGTAATTAATAAAGCGGGAGTAGAATTTGAGAGGGGGTAAACAATGGAGATACGGTAGTGATAAATCTGACTGTATACTACCCACTCTCAACAAAGGCACTCAACTGGCCAGGGATCAAATGTCATCAAAATTGGACATTTGATCCCAAAATTTTTTATCAGCGGCAAATAAATTTTTCGAGGCTTTTGAATTGTTTCTACTTATTTTTCTTTTTCTAATAGTTTTTTAGACATGAGTAAGCGTCCACATTCCTCACTTGACCCACAAAAACAAAATTCATTTACCTCCAAAAGACAACAATTTATTGATTCAATTGAAATGTTAGATTTTCAAAATGTTATAATTATTAATCAACAAATTGGAGAAGACATTCCAAAATATGCCCAAACAATACTCGAACAACAACAAAAAATAATTGAACAACTTTCACACCTTCTCAAAATTGGGGGTGAATTGTTAAAGGAACAAAATGGAGACAATTTAAATAGTAATAAAGAGAATTTACTTGATGAGTCATTTGTTGAGGTTGAAAAATCGTTTGAGGAAATTGAAAGGAAAAAACAGGTTTTTTTTAAATATTTTTAGTGTTTTCCCTTAAAACCCCAAAAATGTTAAACGAGCTTTTTGAACGCGCATCAATACCTATGTGTTAGCAAAGCTGTCCACAAAAGTAGGCAAAACCAGACTAGGAAACGGATACTGATTTCGGTATCCGTATCCTGATATTTACGGCGGATACAGAAGGATATCCGCAGGCATGTTTACAATATCTGTATACATGTCCTAGTCTGGGCAACACTGATACAAAACTACAGCTTTGTTAACGCATAGATATAGGCATGCGTTAAAAAAGCTTCTTTAAAATTTTTGGGGTTTCTTTTAGAACAAAAATTTTTAGAAAAGAAATTTTTAAAAATTTTCCTAAAAATTTTTTTCGTTTTAGAAACAAGCTCAAAACAAAGAAAATATTTCCTCCCAACAAAATGTTAATTCTCAACAAATTTCAACCAGAAAGGTTCAACGTGAAGGTTCAACTAATGAGTGTGACTTTGACAATAGTTTTGATGAGTGTATTAGCTTTTCAAATCCGGATTCTTTGAAAGCGGATTCATCCAGATTAAATACATCTCCAGTGCAGACGAAGGAACCTGAGAAAGGTTTTATTTAATTTTTGGGTTGGGTAGGATACTGGAAAATTTTCCCTTTTTTGAAAGAACTCGAACACAAAAGTTTAAAAAAATCCCTACTCAAAAAAATTAAAGAATGGGATCGAGGAAACGTGGAAAATTTCTCTCGGCGGCGACAAAACGACCCCCCGTGTTTTTAAAAATTTTTAATATCTGGATCGGATTTGATTTTTGAAAACCCTTTACTTTTTAAAACCGAAATTCGATCTAGAGAATTTTTGAAACCCGACTCAATTCTAATCTTAGTCAGCCCTGCCTGAATTTTCTAGCCAATCCATGCCTGTTACCAGTGAAAATTTTCGGATAAAAATTCCCCCCCCCCTCAAAATATTCCTATCTAATTTTTTGTGTTTATTCCTCTGGCACAAAAGTAGCTAGACTCTGCTCCAAAATTTTTTAAAATCAATTTTTAGACTCAACAACAACAATTTCTACAACCCCAAATATCCTTCAAAACGAATCAACAACAAATACTCAATTAATTAATTCTTCAAACCCTCTTCCACCAATTCAAAAACAAAATATTTATTTGGATGATTTATTTATGCAGGATTTGTCCAAATATTTGATTAAATGGAGAAAAGGACGTCTTTTTAATTTTGCTGAATTGGACTTTCACAATCGGGATTTTGGGCAATATTTTGAGATAAATTGTTTGGTGAGAGGGTTTTTGAAGGAAAAAAATTTTTTGGGGTTTTTTCGTTCCTGTGGAGGGTTTTTTGGTTCTTGTCCTTTGTATGAGTCTCATAAATTTAAATATTTTTTTTTAATTTTCAAAATTTAGTTTTCGGATTCCTTAATGTTGGGAGCTTTGTTGTCAGTTGATTTTGCTGGCATAACCCTTATTCAATTTTTTTAAATTGGGCTGTATTACCCAAAATTAATTTGAAAAGCTGTTGGATGATACATAATCCCATCCCAGTGAATGCAGGTTTCGAACACCCAATAAAGTGTTGATGAACCTAAAAAACTTTAAGGAAAATTTATGATTGAGGGCCCAGACTCCGATCCTTAAACACAATTTTACCAACCTTTAACTTACAATTAAACCTAATTTTAATTAATTCAAAGGGGCCGGTCTGATTTTAGAGGGCTATAATGGGGTGTGCGCCAACATTTGGCGTTCTCTTGGATATTCCTCACTTAACTCACAATTTTTTCAACCCCCAAATGGTGTAACAACTTCGTGGTGTAGACAAAAAAAAATTTTCAAAAAATTCCAAAAAATTTCTAATTTTTTCTTAAGGTATTTTCAATAACTTCCCCTTCTAAAGAAGACATAAAAAATGGATGTCCTGTTTATTTGTATGTTTGTGATGGGACAAAATTGGCATCGTAAGTAAAAATAATTTTTTAAATTTTAAAAGAAATCCAATTTTTAGGCCTACAAAACCTTTTTTGATGACAGAACCAACTTATCACGTTTTGGATGATTTATTTGATGGAAATCTTAATTATGAAAATATGAGAGAATATGTTCAAGTATTTAGTTGTTTTGGTAGGTAGAGGGGGGGTTTTTTAAATTGTTCAAAAAAAATTAATTTAGCACGCCCTAAAGCTGGCGCCGAAAAGCTATGTTGATTTTTGGGGTCTGGGACGTTTTGGAGTTTAACAGCTTGTCGCGGGCCTCATAAAATAGTGAATTAATTATCTAGAGATATTTTAATCCTCCGAGTTTTATCCATCCATTTGCGCCGAAACAGCCAAGCGCCAGATCAACTCAAAATTATCTTGTGGTTTAGTTGGAAAATATTGGGGTCAGCAAGCGAGCGTTTTCCAAAGGGTCCCGGGTTCGAATCCCGGTAGCGGAAAAACATTTTTTAATGATAACTGGGACTGTTTTTTATTCTAATTAAAATATTTTTTCATAAAAAAAATTAAAAAAAAAATTTTTTGCAGATGAATTTGCCGAGCAGGCCAAAGCTTTAAAAGCTGGAGATATAATTCAAGCGCGCAATGTCCACGTTAAAATATACCAGGCAAATTCAGCACAGCATATATTTAATCTGCGAGGATTGCTTAACCCATCATCAAATCCATTTAAAAGGGGTTTACAACTTTTGGGAAGAAAAGGGAAAAGTTTGTTTAAAGAGAAGAGGACAATTGCAATGATTTGAGAGAGTTTTTATAAATTATGTAGTTTTGCCTTATCTCAAAATGAGTTGATATTTTGTGCAATAGAGAACTTCTTTATAAGATAAATCCTTTAAGGCTGAAAGAATTTTATCGTATAATATGAGGAACATATTAAATAGAGGATATTAATACCTCCCCACCCTTTTTTATTTGGAAATTTTGTCCTTATGTACTTTTAAATCAAGATTTTTGTACTCTTGATTGGCATTTTGTCGATCCGAGCCCTGTTCTAAAGCAATTTAAAAAATTTTTTTATGATATTAGAAAAAAATCACAGTCCAACACAAAATATAAACAGCAAAAACTTAATCAACTAATTAATTTTTCAATAGCTACCAAATCACATCTTTGTTCAAAAATTTGAATTACTTTAGCTTTATTAATTCCAATAATATCAAATTGTTCCAATTTTGAATCTAATTGTTGTTCCGGAATATTTTTAATTTCATCTTTGAGTAATATAGCTGTTGGGGGAGGTAAGGAAAGTAGACGAAGTGTGGAAAGAACGGAAATACATTTCTTGAAAATTTAGAGGAGCTTAGAAAAATTTTAAGAAAAAATCTACTTCATTAAAAACATCAAAAACTCCAGCACCACGCATTTTTCCATAGCATTGATTTAATAGGGGAATTAAAGCATTTGTTGTATCGTACAATATTTGGGCTGCTCCACGATAACTAAAAATTTTGTGAAAAAAAAATATAAAAAATAGACACTAGGACCTCTAGGATTTTTTTGGTATAAAAAATAGATATTAGGATTTGGACCTCTAGGATTTATTTTATAAATACAGAATTCTAATTTTTTGAAACAGTCCCAATTTTGAGGTTCCGAGTAGAGTGGGAGGCACTTTCGGCATAGGGCTAGAGAAAGAGCAGTTAGGAGGATTTCTCCAATATGCTTGATGGGGCCGACATTTATCCTATATTTTTAATATTTTCCAAACTAGAATACACGTTCTAGAATTTTTATACATCAATTACATGTTTCAGAACAGAAAATACCCCCCCCCCCCAAAAAAAAAATTTTTATAAATAAACTAGAGTTGTAGGCGACCTGCTAATTTTTGCCTGTAGCTGTTCAACTTGCTCTTAAAATTCTCCATTTTAGCCACCACAGGCGAAAATTAACCGGTCGTTAACCGCCCTAAAGAAACCAAAACTTACTTAAAAGCAGTCTGTGAAATAACACACAAATCCAAAGCTGTCCAAATTTCATGATTTGTTAAATGTTGAAAAGTCAAAACAGAATCTGACGAAATATTTGAACTTAACCATTCCAACAATTCTTTAACTTTGCGTAAAAAAGGTTCAAAAGAAGGTGTAATTTCTGAAGGCTTTGGAGGCCCTTCCCAATCATACCATTTTTCATTTGAATATTTTAATGTTAATTTTTTGCTAATTAATTCAGAAAATTGTTCACAAATATTTCTAACCCATAAACGCCAAACATGTCGATATAATGAAGCATTTTCATCAAAAGTTCCTCTAGCTAAGGAATTTATTAAATTTGTTGAATTTTGGGAGGATGAAGAGGTGGTTGAAGAAGAAGTTTGTTGTTGTTGGGAATGGGGATCTTTAAAAAATAAATAAAGTCGGAACCTCCATTTTATTTGAACATATGAAAGGTTGGTGAGGAAATTGGAAAAAAAAAACCAACCAAAAATTGGCGGTTGCTGTCGGAAATCTACGGGTATAGGAAAGTGATAACCGAACCGACTCTAGAGTTTTTCCCCATTCCGGATACCCATAAACACCAAGCTGAACCTCATACCGGTCAATATACACCTCGATAAGTCTTTTCTAATATCGGTTGACCATTGGAATTCGAGACAATAGGAATACCCCATAATTAAGATCTTGGGGATTAGAAAATTGTCATAAAATGAGGTTATCTCAAATTGGGGTGTACCTATGAAGATTTCCTCACCTAGTCGATACCCGAATTTTAGAAAAATTATATAAAATTGTGTCTCCAATAATGGGGGTATATAAAAATGAGGTTCGCTTGTGAAGAAAAATATTTTCAAAAAGTTTCCCAAAATTTATTTAAAATAACCATTAATTTGTTGGTGTTGTTGTAAGAAAAATTGAAGACGGACAAATTCAGGTGAATCGCTCCAATCATCAAGAAGTAAAGTTAAATACCTTAAGAAAAAAAAATTTTTTTTTTCTCCTTAAAATTAAAAAATTCAAAAAAAAAAAAACCATAAAGCATTTAAAAGTTGTGGAAAAGGTGTACAAAAACAATTATGATTATTTGCCTGTCCAATTCTTACAATTCTACTTCTAAATTCATCAACTATTAAAAGTTGTAATTTAAGAAAACGACATTGAATTTTCATATCAGGAATTGAACGATAACGTTCTGACATTGATTGCATTAAAATTACAAAAGAATCGGCAAAATTGGGGACCAAATACTGAAAAAAATTAATATTTTGATTAGAAACAGAAAAGAATGGAGCTAGAATTCGAACATTTTAGGCCGAGTTTTTTCAAAATTTTCTCGGATCGGGTCAACCCAAAAAATTTTCCATTGTGGTGTAGTGGGATAATGCTTAGAATTCAATCAAAATGGGGTCGAAGGTTCGAACCCCTTTGGGAGAAAACAATTTAAAAATAAAATTAAAAAATAAACCGGATCAACATCAGCCGCTTCCTTATATCTAGGTTCATAAGCATTATTATCAGCCAAAATAGCATCTACCCCAGCAGAAAGCGTATCCCTTTCCAATCTTATCCAAGCTTCCAAAACTTTGTCAAAATTACAGAGAGTAGAAATTACATGAATTTCAGATTCTTCCAAATAACCAAAATTTTCCAACATTTCTCTTTCAAATAAAACACATTCATCAATTAAATTTGAAAGTTGTCGACGTTCTTGAATTAATTTTTCATTTTTAAATAAATCTGACACTTTTTCTGATGCTAATTTCATTAATCTTTCTAAAAATATTTGTTTAGCTGTTGTTGTTGATTGTTTTAGATAAATGTTGTTTTTGGTGTTGTTTTGCATCTATTTAGTTTTTTTGTTAGAAAATTTATTTTATTTTTTACAGATTTAAGCAAGGGCGTAGCTTAAGCAAGGGAGTGCTAAAGTGTCGATTTCAGGTGAGGGGCTAAAATTGGGTGTGCGCCAAAATTTTGGCGTTTACTCTGGCGTTCCCAACGCAAATTTTTTTGAATTATATTTTTATTTTTTCAGCGCCCCTGGCTAAGCCCTTGGGTTTAAATAATCGTTTTTCACTCAGTCTTCAATTTTTCTTTCTCCATCTGTGGAGAAGGAAACGTTTTTCCCGTCTTTTCTCCATAAAGGTCAAAATGTTGAATTTGGTATAGCAAAGGTCTGATTATTTAGGGATGGGACGGATTGAGAGCAAAAAAGTCGGGTTAGAATCAGTTTTTCAAAAAACATTTTCAGTATCGGGTTTCGAATCGAAAAATGTTCGAGTTAAACCTTGCTGAAATTAAGCTGAAATTAACTAGTCGCCCAGAATTCTAATAACACTAAAATCCTTTTATTTCCCCCAAAAAATTTTTTTCAATATTTTTGTGTTAAGAAATATTAAAAACAACCCAAGCCTCATTAAAATGAAAAAGGAGACTCCAAAAAATCTAAAAAATTATATTCAAACAAAAAACCTCATCAACAAATGGTTGTAGATAAACTTCAAAATATTCCAAATTATTTTCTGCCCAACAAGAAAGTTGTGAGAAAAACCATTCTGGTTTGCTAGGCAAATTAGTCTTTTTGTCTCCATAAAAGTGATAATTAAAACGTTTATCAAATTCACCCAAAACTAGTTCCATTGGCTCTTCACTTGGTGACAATTCTTTTTCGCTATTTTTGGCTGGGGATGCTTCAATATTTATCTAGAAAAATAAAAAATTTTTTGAAAAATTATTTTAGGTTTTCTGATGCTAGGACCAAATGTCTCAACTTTTTAAAAATTTATCTAAAAAATTTTTAAAAAATTCTTTGAAAGTTTTTGACATTTTGGGACCAAATGTCATCCTTTTACTATTCTATTTTATCTAAAATTTTCCGAAGAAATTTCGAGTTTCCTAATAGAGTGATCAAATGTCACCCCCCTCTCTATTTAAATTCATATAGATATTAAAAAAATTATTTTCAAGGTTTAAAAGATTTTGGGACCTAATGTCACCTTATCAAATTGACTTAGAAATTATTTTTTAAATAATTTTCAAGGGTTTAGACATTTTGGGACTATATCCAACCTCTTATTTAGAGATGCGGCGGATTAAGAGAAAAAAAGCTGGGTTAGGGTTCGAATTGGGTTTTCAAAAGATTTTGGGACCAAATGTCTCACTAAAATTTTTCAAAAAAATATTTTCAGATTTTTGAATTTTGGGATTAAATGACTCAATTTTTTAAATTCAATTAGAAAAATCTTTAAAAAATTATTTTCAAGGGTTTTAAGATTTTGGGACCAAATGTCTCACAAATTTGCAAAAAAAAATTAAATTTTCAAACCAATCTTAAACATTTCAAAATTTGAGCAGTTTGAACAAGTTGAGGCTTTAAAGTATTAAAATCAACAGATTCTTCAAAAGGAAAGTGAATACGAGAAAATACAAGAAAAAGAGTTGAATTTAATTCTAATTGTAAAAATTGAGCTAAAGAGGCTGATTTGACGGTATAATCTCGGCGACAATCTTTAACCATTAAATACTAAGAAATTAAAAGAATATTAATTGGAGAATATTTGGAAAATAATTGAGGCAAGAGAAAAAAATATTTGAGATTTTTAAGGAAACCGAGGGAGTAATGGCATATTAGGGGATTTGGAGGGATATCAGTGGATATGTAGGTATTAAAAGAGCGATGTTACGGGGTCGATTGGGGAGCTTAGGGGAAAAAAATCGATTGGGGGGAAAAATTCACTTTTGTTATCATTTCCCTCCCAGAATTTCTTCAGCTTCCCCATCTCAGGAAGAGTTATAGTCTCAAAAGCCCCTGGCTACGCCCTTGAAGTATTAAGGAAAAAATCTGGGATATACATATTTTAATTGTTCAAATCCATCATATCCTCCTTAATCCCTCTTAATCCCCAAAAACATTGGATTCCATTTTAATCCCCACAAATCCTCAATATCCTCTAAAAATGCGACTCAACCGCTCCAAAAGTCAAAAAACTTTGAAGTCCTATAACTTTTCGAAATAAGAGGTAGGGCCGTAAAAGACGGGCACCATAGTAGGTTTTCGGCTATGCTATACACGACGGTATAAAAATTATTTCAAAATTTTTGGTGACAGTTCGATATTGTTCCTTGTTAGATATCCCCGTTAACCCACCCCTTAATCACTTCTAATCCCAGTGCAATACAAAATTCCGGTCTCTAAAATAGACTGACATAAATTTAAAAAACAACCTCAATATTTTCTTTAGGTATTTTCCGCAATTTTCGATAATTATCCAACAACAAGGAATAATTTCCTTTTCTTAAACACCTTCTAATTTCATCTCTCAAATTAACAAAATATTTCAAAAATTTAAGGTAACTTTGTTTTTGCTGCAATTCTCGTAAAATTTCAATTTTTTCGAATAATTCCGGAGCTGCCTAAAAAATAAAATTTTTTTTTAATTTTTAATCTCAAAAAAATTCAAAAAAAACCTCTTTAATTTTTTCATTACATTTATTAAATAAATTAACCAAAAGCAAATTTTCGTTAAATATTTTTTCTCTAGTTGAGGATAAATTGTCTTTTAGTTGTTTTAAGGAAGCCTCCATTTGTTTTAAATTTTGTTGGTGGACAATTGAATCTACCTAAAAATTTGTTTTTTAAGGAAAAAATTATTGGGAAAATTTCTTTGAAAAAATGTTGTAAGAAACAATGGTCATTTTTGCGGACTTTACTAATTTTTTGGACTTTTCTCAATTATTTCGGACTTTACTGAAATTTTCAAACTTTTCTTAATTTTAGCGGACTTTTACCAAAAAAGAGAAGATTGTCATATTTTCTCTCACATCAGTTGGGAATTTAATCAGTAAATAAAAAAATTCGGAAAAAAATCATCCGTAGCATAACGACTCTATTTTAACGACGAAAATTATTCCCAATAAATTTAAATAAAACCTCCAAATCTTCCTTTTTAGCTTCCAATTCATCACACAATTTCCTCACTCCTTTAAAATAATTTCTGAGATCCTTCGAATTTAAATCTGCCAAGCCTTCACGAATTCGAATTGTCTAAAAATTTATTTTTTATTAAATCAAATACTTTACAAACCAACAATTTTTACCTTCAAAAAATTAAATTTGGTAATTTAATACTGAAAAATATTTGTATTCATCTCTTAAAAATAATTAACTCTTAGCTGGATTCGAACCTTGACCAACTAGAAAGAAAATTATCCCACTTAACCATAAACAGCAAAATATAAAAAGAACACTTTATTAGCATCATAAAGTGTTCAAAATTTAATTTAAAAATTTTAAAATTAAAAAAAAACCTCATTAATTTTAAATTGTTCAACATCTGAAGATGTATTAGCACAACTATTTAAAGGCTGTTGAAATGAAGAAAATGAAGTTCTTTTTGATGATGAACAATCACCGGACATTTTCTTTCTCTTTTTTTAAGTGAAAAGATTTTTTCAATATTTCTAAAAAAATTGATAAAAAAATTTTTTTTTAATTAAAAAAAATAATCAAGTGAAAACGACATTTTGCCACATGGACATTTTGCCACAAAAACAAAACGTCACAAAGACAAAATGTCACAACACCAAAATGTCACACAAAAAACTTTTTTTATTAACAATTTTTATTAATACTTTATTCTCTCAATTTCAAAACTCTTAAATTCCTGAGCCTCAAATAAATGACAAATTTTAATTAAAAAATAAACAGAAGAATAATAACGATTCTCTACTTTGTATTTTGTAAAATATAAACCTCCTTCTACATTCCCTTCTTCCACAATTTTTGTTTTGGTACATAAATCTGGCCATGGAAAATCGTTAGCATTGTCAAAACAAATTTTTGGAATTATTTGAAGACAATTTTTGGACATTTCTGCATGCTTAAAAAATTAAAAAAAATTTTTTAACTTCAATGAATGCTAGTACCAAAAATAATTTAGTAAAAATATAATGCCTAGAAAAAAGAAAGAAAGCTTTTGTTATTTTTGGGGTAGCAGACAATTTTTAAAAATGTGATTGATTCCCCACCATCTGAAAATCTTCAAATATTTCTTGTTTGTCTATCTTGGTCAATTTTAAATTCCGATATAAGAAACTAAAAATTTCTGGTCCGAATCTAAAAGATAGTGACAATAGCCAAGGAGTCGATTTCAGGGGAAGAGATAAAATTGGGTATGAAATTTGGGCGTTATTTTGAACCTACATATATTTTTATTTTGACGACGTCGATGAAAACTTTATAAATTTGGAAAGTCGCAAGCAGAAATATTTGATTTAATCGATCATCCTTCTCCCAATTTTTCCTCCTTTTCACTTATTTCGAAGTGCCCCCCATCCTTAATGTTAACAAAAACTTCAAAAAATTTAACTCAAATTCCCCCCAAAAAATTTAAACAAAAAAACTTTACATAAACAAGTAAATTGTGCAAATCAACATTTAAATTTCCGGGTCCATACGGAAACACAACTTGTTTAATTTTCCAACCAGAAAAAAGTAAAAAATTCAATAAATCGCCAAAATATGCATGAACACGAAGATTCAATTTTTTATAAACCTTCAAATATTTTTCAACAAAAGTTAACGTGTGTTGGTGTTCCTCAACATTTTCGTTGATAAAACTTCCAGTATTTAACCAAACATTACCGGCATGGTAATAAATTGCTTAAATTGAAAAAAATTTATTTAAAATTTTTTATTCTGTAATACATCACTCCAAGGGCGTATCCAGGGGGGGCTGGGGGGGGGGCTAGAGCCCCCCCCCCCCCCGAAATGGGGAAAAGGAAAAAATTTGAGAAAGGGTTGGGGCAAAAAAAGTGAATTTTTTTGGCCTACGGCCTTCCAAAATTCAAAAAATTTTCGCCTGCGGCGCTAAAAAGGAAGAAATCTGGCTTCTTGGGCTCCAAATTCCAAAAAATTTTCGCCTGCGGCGCTGAAAATATAAAAAGTTATGTACAAAAAAATTTGCCGTAGGAACGCCAAGGTAAACGCCAAAAATTTTTGCGCCCACCCAGTGTTAGCCCCCCCCCCGAAACCGACCCCCTGGATACGCCTTTGCATCACTCTAGAATGGCAAAGAAACTCCTCCCATTTTGAGAACGATATAAAGCTTTATATTCTCTTTTTAGTTATTACTTTTTCCCCCATTGTTTTTTTTTGGCTTTTGCTGGCGGAACCACGCTCGCCAACATTATATTTAAATTTCGGAAATAAAATTTTAATTGGAAATGTTTTTCTTATTTGTTTATTCTTAAAGTCCCCAGTGCTAACCCTTACAATTCTAACACTATTTTTTTTCGGTATAATTTCGGAATACTGAACAGAAAGCAAATGGGTCAAATCATATGTCATTCGAAAGAGCTCGTCGAGTTGAGTCGAAATGTGAAAAAATTTTCGTGCGGACTCATACAGGGGCTGAGATATAGGCCTCCGAAAATCGAAAAACCATAGGGGGGACCAAGCTGTTTTTTGGGGTGAAAAATTCGAATATGCAAATTATACCTCATTCGAAAGAGCTCATCATGCTGAGTCGAATGACACCAAAATCAACGAAATCCGACTTGATTTGACAAAGTTATGACCGTTTGCTTGAGCTCCTTACCTATGGGCTCCGTGAAGATATTTGTTGCTGTGGAGGGAGCCAGGCATGACCTCATCATCGATGATAGGAATAGGATTAAGTTACGAGCCCAGACCCAGCGCCCGTAGACTCCCCGCGAGGCGCGTGCCGCAAAACCCCGCGCGAAGCGCGGGGTTTTGCACAAGCGCCTCGCCGACGCCCCATAGGTTTACGTTGTCATAACTTTGTTTGAAATCATTCAATCAAGCTGATTTTGGTGTCATTCGACTCAGCTCGTCGAGCCCTTTCGAATGAGGTATAATTTACATATTCGAATTTTTTGACCCCAAAAATCGTCAAATTTCGGGGGTCTGTAACTCGGCCATATGAAGTCGGATTTCGTTGATTTTGGTGTCATTCGACTCAGCTTGACGAGCTCTTTCGAATGAGGTATAATTTGCATATTCGAATTTTTCACCCCAAAAAACAGCTTGGTCCCCCCTATGGTTTTTCGATTTTCGGAGGCCTATATCTCAGCCCCTGTATGAGTCCGCACGAAAATTTTTTCACATTTCGACTCAACTCGACGAGCTCTTTCGAATGACATATGATTTGACCCATTTGCTTTCTGTTCAGTATTCCGAAATTTTTCCTTTTTTTCTACTTTATTCCCTCCAGGCAACTAAATCAATCAAAAACGAGCATAAGGATAAGAAAAAGTTCTTATTAATTGAAAGATTTAAAATTTATCAAAATTTTCATGAAATTGAATGAAAGTTTCAACTCGAGGACTTAAGATGCATCCAAAAAATCCTAAGGCCCCCATCCAAGGACAACGGGTCAGAATGTCCGAAACTGAAAAATAGTGGAGATCCGAAAATTTTTGGTCCTAAAATAGCTTCTAATTTCGAATATTCAAAAATTTCCCAGGAATTGTCATCCCCAACCCCAGCACAAACAAATGACCCTATTGAGTCGTGCCCATATTTACTAAGAAAACAAAATTGATTTAGTCGCCAAAAAGGAAAAAAAATCCAGAGGCCCATCAGAGGACAATGGTTCGAAATATCAGAAACTGAAACAAAATTTCAGTTTCTGATTATGAAGAAACTCAGAATTAAAATTCGTAAAAATCAAAAAAAGTAAACCTGGCCCTAATAGATCCGCTCCTTCAGTAAAATGACAAAAAAGCAGCTGGACAATTGCTGGATTAAAAACAGCACAAGAAAAGTTTATTGAATCAAAATAGCATTGAGATAATTGAAAGAGCCAAAAGCGAGTGTAAAGAAAATCTGAGAGAGTTTCTGGGTAATAAGGCAATTCCAAACAAAGTTGGGGCTGTTGAACGTTGTCGACATCTTTCCTTGAGATAAAAATTATAAAACTGTCGACTTCGTTTGCTTGGGACATATCAGGCAATACTTCTGATAAATATAGAGGCATTTGTGTTTCAGCAGCCCAAATCAACTGAAAAAAAGTAAAAATTAAATAAGGTGACATTTTGTCCCACACGTATTTTAGATTAGACAGTCGATTCACTATAAAATCAGGCCCGTAGCCGGAGGTGATCAAAAAATAGGGAGCCGATAGTCCCAGTTCTTGTCTAATTTAGGAGTCCAATAAAAAGTTAAAACTCAGAGCTGTTTAATGAAGATCGAGCTGGGTCTGGACCAAGGCCTAGGTTTTTCCTGTAGCCAGAGTCCAATCCCAGACATTTTTTGACCTCCTAGAATTTTCCTGTGCCTCTGTTTTTCCTGTACTACAGGCCCAGGATCATACTAAGGTCAATAAATCAAATCCCGAGTCCAGGAACAGGCCCAGGCTTTTCAAAAATCTCTCGATATCTACTGTCCAATATAAATCAAGGCCCCCAAAAAATAAAAAACCTTTTCTCTCTGCTCCTCATTTAATTCTACATTATAAATTTCACTTCCATATCTATCCTCCACTTCATTAACAATATCCACAGCTCTTCGATAATTAGAAAGGCGGACATCATTTTCAGAAATCTAAAGAAATTTTAGGCTTAAAATGAACAAAAAATTCTCTCACGATTTCTAAATGGGAAAATTCCTTGAGCGCCAACTCGTCTCTATATTGTTGAATAAAAGAGAAAAATTGGCTATTTACTTGTTGTAAAACAGACAAATTAAAATAATCGAGAAATTTTAAAAAATCCAATAAAGATTCTGTTGGCAATTTGAACAACATTTTTATTAACGGAGCAGTTCAACTGAGTCCGCACGATTGAGTCCCCACGATTGAGTCCGCACGATTGAGTCCCCACGATTGAGTCCCGGCACGATTGAGTCCCCACGATTGAGTCCGCACGATTGAGTCCCCGTTGTATATACCTCAATTGAGTCCCCGTGGATTTGATTTGAGAAAAAAGATAGTAATTAAAGACAAAATTGTACTATTATAATTAGTGACCGGCAAAATCATTTTTCCGGGCCCGGAAACCGGATTTTGGATTTCACACTCATGCCGGACCGGATCCGGCCGGATTTTTCCGGATTAATCCGGTACGGTTTTAATCCGGTAAAAATAATTTCCGGAGTCCGGCAGAATTTACCCGGATTCCGGACCGGATCCAGGTTTTTTTCCGGATTTTCCAAAAAAATTTTTTAAATTAATTTTTGTATTAAAATGTTGTAAGAGGTGTGTGGTTTATGTGTTAAGATGTTGTTAGTGGGGATATTTAAAGATTTTGGAGGATATGAAGGATGCTTGTTGGATTTGTGGATATTATAAGGGATAACGAGGTATTTTGGTAGATAAAATGGATAACAGGTGACCTTATTACTCCAACTAACCTTATATCTCCTTAATCCTCCGATATCCTATCGACTTAATCCGCCTATAGCTTTCCAAATATAAAGATATCCCCCTTAAACCCCGATATCTCTCGATTGATATCCGATTAATCACAAGGGATGAGAGGCGGCCGCAGTCAAAAATTTTGAAAATTATTGAAGTCCAAGTCTCTAGATTTTTTCCATTTTCAGCGCCGCAGGCAAAAACTTTGAGAATTTTGGGAGGACAAGAATCGCGAAAAAACCCGGATTTGGGATCCGGACTCTATTATTTCAAACAGGATGGCGGATATTTTAACTGAACGTAGAAAGCCTAAACTTGTTCATGATGGATATTTATTTGTTTTTCATAAAATGAACAAAGATGAAGACATCAAGTTTTGGAGATGTGAGGCCTTCAACAAAAAAGATGTCAGATGTAAGGCTCGCCTACATAGCGACCTCAACAAATCTGTTTTGCGTGAATTAAATTATCACGTTTGCAGCGGCAACCCTGCCAATGTTCAAAAGCAAGTTGTTGTGACAGAGATTAAAAGAAGGGCAATTGAAACTCGTCAAAGGAATTTGGCAGCAGTTCAACCCACGTGTTTTCTCAACAGACTACGAAGCAGCAATTATTGGAGCTATTCAGGAGGTTTTTCCTCGTTCAGATCTGGCTGGTTGTCTGTTCCACCTGGTTAGGAATCTTAAAAAAGCAATTTGCGATGCTAATTTAATGCAGGTTGTTTTTTATTCCCATTTTCATTTGTACTCCTATTTTTCAGCGTTATAAAAATGATCCTTTGTTTGCCGCTGATGCCAAATTAATTACTTCAATAGCTTTCCTGCCTATTTGTGATATATTTTCAAATCCATGAATATTTATTTGAAAATTTTGTTTTAGAATTAGTGATGTGTTTATTAGATTGAATAAAGATTTTTGATAATCTTGATATTAACATTAATCCCCCCAAATCCCCAGATATCCCTCTTAATCATTTTTAATATAATTAAATCTACGGGGACTCAATTGAGGTATATACAACGGGGACTCAATCGTGCGGACTCAATCGTGGGGACTCAATCGTGCCGGGACTCAATCGTGGGGACTCAATCGTGCGGACTCAATCGTGGGGACTCAATCGTGCGGACTCAATTGAGGTGTACCGTTTTATTAAGTGTTTCTAAAGCTACTAAAAAATTAATTATAAATTGATTTAGAGATTATTTAGAATACGGCAAAATCGCAATAAAAAAAATAAAAAATTTCTTGTAATGGGTTTAAAGCTTGCTTAAAAGTCGAAGGGACGGTCCCCTAAATCCGGTTTGACGCTTAAAATTTGCGTTTCAGTGGCACAATCTCGTAAAATCCCGTACAGGATTCCCTCACTTGCCGTATATCGTCTTGAAAAAAAATTTAGATGTTGGCATTTTGTCAAGTTGACATTTTGACATATTTTATTTAATGATTTTTACCATTTTGAAAATTAACTGAAACAGTGGACGTTTCAGTGTCACAAATTCAGAGTGCGACCATAACTTGATTTTCTCGGGTTTTTTTTCTCTTTTTCGCTTCCGGTTCTCTCCCGGATTTTTTCTTGTATTTTTATTCCTCTTTAAAGAGATTTTTCTTTAAATTCCAGTATCTACTTTATTTTTTTTTCTTCTATTTATTTTTTTTCCTTTCTATTATTTATGAGTATACAAATAAATATATACCTATTATGTTGCCCATTATTTTTTTTTGTAATTGAGACTAGCTTTGGCCAGCTGGAATTTAAACAATAAATAAATAAAAATATTTTTTTATTGAAATAGGAGCGTGAAAAAAAAATTATTGGAATATTTTTAGAAAAGATTTGAATGTATAAAAAAAAGGGAAATTGAGGGAAAATATAGGGGGTGGGTGGCCAGTGTTTATTAAAATTGGGGAAAATTGCACCAAGAATATTTATTGTTTAAATGCAACCCAAAATTTTTTCAAATTCTTTACAGGAAATTTTTTTTGTTTCTCCAATTTTATATACGTTTTTTCTGCCCCGAGTATAGTATAAGGTAAGGTGCTCCTCCGAGCCCCCGGAGTCGGATGTTTCGAGGTTGGTGTCGAGGTTTTTGCCAAAAAATTATCGTTGTACGGCTTAGAGCTGTCCAAACTTTTGGTCTTGGGTCTTGACTCAAGACTTTTCCTGGGTTTTTTCGGTCTGGTCTTGATCATGGGGTCCAGTCTTGGTTTAGGGTCTTGAGTCTTGAAAAATTTTTGGTCTCGGACAGCTCTAGTATGGCTATCCTAGTATACCTATTTTCTCGATTAATTCCCCTTGCTAGAGATAGGCTGAAACAATAATTCCCCAGTCGAATTAATCGAGAAAATACGGTAAAAGATAAGATTCGATTGTTTGGGACGCTTGGAGGAAACTCCATCACATCAGAAATATGATGGAACTCTACTAGTGATGTTCGGGAGAAGAAAAAACTCGGGAATCGGGAAACGGGAGTCGGGTCGGGAAATGACCTCGGGAGTCGGGATCGGGAGTCGGGAATTTACAATAAAAAAATTTTTGGCGCCTTCGGCGCCAAAAATTCCGGTTTTTTGCATTGCAAGGGAAAATTATGAGAATTTTGGAAGGTCAAGAGGCCAGACATCTTCCTTATTAGCGCCGCAGGCGAAATTTTTGAGAATTTTTGAAGGCCAAGCTGTAAAATTTCTTCCATTTTCAACGCCGGGGGCGAAAATTTTGAGAATTGGAAAGACAAGGAGCTAGATTCATCCTTTTTCTGCGCCGCAGGCGAAAATTTTTGAAAATTCATGACAAAATTAATTTTTCTACAGTTTTTTGACGTTTATAATATAGAAAAAAATAATTGTAAAATTTTAATATCAAAATAAATGTTAAAAACCATTTATTTTTGGATGGAAAAATTATTTAAATAAAATACTCCAAACCCGGATTCGAACCTAGACCAATCAAAGTAACTTAGGCACTCAACTTAACCACTCGACCACCTCTCAACAATAGTTGTCAGGGAAAAAAATTAAATATTTTATTTTCCCTTTTTTTATTTTTTCTCTTTATTTTTTCCCTTCAAAAATAAAATTTTATCAGAAAAAGCCATTCTTAGGGGTGTAAAAATTTCCCGACTTAGTCGGGAATTGCCATCGGGAGTCGGGGTCGGGATCGGGAGGCCAAAAACTCGGGAAATTTCCCGAGTCGGGTGTCGGGAGTCGGGATACCCGAACATCACTAAACTCTACTACATGTCCCTAAATTCCAAATAGATTAAAATCGAAACATAAAAAAATTTAATTGACAGGGATTAAAAATCATTATTTTCAACATTCTTTTTTCCCATTGTTACATAATATTTAACAATAAAACCATGTAAAATTAAAATTTTATTTGTTAAATTTTCCCATAAAAAATTTCAAAAACAATTTTTTCTCTCTCATTTTTTGTACATATTTTTGTATTTTTTTATTTTTTAAAATATGTAAATAATATTTTAGTATTTATTTTTCCAATAAGTCCCAATCACCCTCCTTTACATACTACAAATTTTTATTATTTTACATAAATGGAATTATATATTTTTTATAATCAATGTTTGTTTATGTATATCTAGTATTTTTTATACTAGATATTTATTTTTTATATAATTTATTTTTATTTTTTATATAATAATTCTTTATTAAACAAAGGACTATTGAAAAATATGTACAATTTCTCCCCTTGCTCCTGCCACTTTTTAAAATTTTAATCCAATTTTCTTCCGTTTTGCGTCTTTTAAAATGTGGCAAAGTCCATCCCCGTTAGTAGGTAGTTACGAGAAGAATTTTCTATAAAAATTTTGGAAATACCTAGTTTCTTCCCCTCTCCTCTTTTTTCATCAATATGTACATAATGGTCAAACTTCCTTCTTAAGAAAAAAATTCATTTCTTTATCAATGTTTTTAATTTGAGGATGGAATTGAAGAAGGAGGGAATCTGATCATTAAATTTGAGAGGGAGGGGTGTCAAAAAACTTGGTATCAACAAATTTTGTCATATAAAAATATACCATAAAATGCTTTAATAGGGTATGACTATTTGAAGCACACTCAACGAGACCCATTGAAAAATGGAAGCCTAGGGCTTCTATTAGAATTGTGGCATTTCTCTGTCAATACTTTTTCTTTTTCGAATTTCAAATTGAAAATAAAAATTGGAAAAACACAAAATCAACCAAAATGTATCCAATAGATGCTTACCTATACAATTTTGTTTTATTTGTTTGATTAGATGTTCTAAATATCATTTCTCTATCCAATTAAAAAAATTATTTTTTTCAATTTGGAGGCTCACCAAAAATAAATCTCTTCCATAATTAAATTGTAAAACGTTTCTTTTCTCTTCATTTTTTATTTTCATTTAAATCCCCCTTTTTCTAAAAATAAATTTTAAATAAAAAAATTTAATCATTTTTTTTAATTTAATAAAAAATTTTAATTTATGATAATCTTTTAGAATTTATATTTTAATCTTTCGAAAAATTAAAAAAACGCCTTCCATAAAATTCCAATTTCTAATAAATTCTATTCTTAATTGAAAGGTTCAAAGACTCTGGAAATTTTCTTTCCTATTTTTCGGTCCCACAAATCCCCCAATTTATCGGTCCCAGAAATCACCCAATACCCCTCTTAATCCCACCAAATTACCCTTTATATACCATAATCCCCCAATATACTTCATTTATGGCTCTTGTCTACTGACTTTTTTTCCACTGACGCATTGTCCGGACACGGCGTTTTCTACCGAATTCTTATCAGCCGCCCACAGTTCGCCCCACTTCTCTAATCATCCCATTTACCGAAAACACTAATGACTTTTTTCCATTGACGCATTGTCCGGACACGCCGTTTTCTATCGAATTCTTACCAGCCAGCGACAATTCGTCCCTCTTCTCTAATCATCCCACTTGCCAAAAACACTCCAATTTGTCTCAAAAATCCCTAATTCGGTCCTTCCCATTCCTCCAAATCAGGGGTCATCGGAAATGACAAAGGTGTCGGAACTCGGAACTGTCAGAACTCGGAAATGGCTCAAAAGTCGTAAGTCAGAAATCTAACCGACCCCTACTTCCAATCTTTTTCAGATTCTCCCATTTTTGCTAATTTTGGCGTTCTGTTATTTTAAATTATTAAAATTATTTAAAAAATTTTGCCATTCTCCCCACTTACTGTACCAATAATATTTATTTTTTTATTGGGTTGTAACATAATTAATGATCGTTTCTCTTTAACGCGTTATAGAATCATTTAAGATTAACAAATATTGCTTTATTTATTCTTGTTTTATTGCTCTATTTCTGCTCTTTAATTTGATACCAAATTTGACCGTTTTTAGACGAATTTAGAAAAGTTATTCTATACTAAATGGAGCTAGGTCGAGAGGTGATTTTCAAGCTTTTCCGGTTTTAATTCGGATATAGTGTAGGACGTCACATGTAGGACGTGACATATGTCATTCGATTCGGTTCGACAAGCTGAGTCTAACGGTACCACTCTCTACTTCAGAAAATGATTCTGGACCGAGTTATAGGTCCCGAAAGATATAGGGGCAATTTTTTGGAATAAAAAAAGCTGATACAAATAATAGCTCATTCGAAAGAGCTCCTCGAGCTGAGTCGAATGACACCAAAATCAGCTTGATTGAACAAGTTTGAGTCGAAACATGCCCCGTTAACTCACGCCTCCACAAAGACAAAAAAGGCCGCGAGCACATAAAACCCGCGAGCACATACAAAACGACCTCAACTGGGACTTATTACCTCGTTCGGATCATTAATTATGTTACAACCCAATATTAATTTTTAATTAAGCTTAATTTAATCAAAAGAAAAAAATGCGAAGAATTCCAGCAATATTAAAATTAAACAAAAAGAAATTATTAAATAATATATTTATTTTTACTTTAATTGTCTTTATTGTCACACTTTTTGTTGTTGCAAGTAAACACTATATTAGTGAAGAAAAAGGTTCTATTAAGGAAATTAATTAAATAAATAATTTAAATAAATTTAGAAAATTTTATTTATTTGTCTACAAATTATCAGAAAATAATAGAGGAAAGAATAGAGGAAAGTTTTGAGGAAAATACAAAATCAGAATCTTCTGAAAATTTTAAATTTAAAGAAATTTGGAAATTATCAACTGAGAGATTAAAAGCAGAAGAGGTAGAGTTTTGTGTTTTTTGTATTTTTGTGTTTTTATTTTTTGTGTTTCTTGTGTGTTTTTGTATTTTTGGTACACTTCATTTATAGCTGGTTTTTAATGCGTGGACGGATATGGACGTATGAGGTGTCATTCGATGCAGCTCGCCGAGCTGCGTCGAACTAGGTGTGGGAGAAGTTTGTCCGGTACCAAGGTCCCGAGATATGGTCGATTGAAAATCAATAAACCAAAGGGGGGAAGAGCTCCTCCTCGAAGAGCTCCTCGAGCTGAGTCGAATGACACCAAAATCACCGAAATCTGACTTCATTGGACAAAGTCGCCTACGGTCTCCGGGGAGTATTTTGCTGCTTCGGAGGCCCCCAGGTATGTCCAGAGTAAGGGAGATAGGAATAGGTTTATGTTACTGGCCCAGAACCCAGCGACCGTTGACTTTGCACAAACGCCTCGCCGACGCCCCATAAGTTTACGTTGTTTGTTTTTTGTGACCTAACTTTTTTGTATTTTTGTGTTTTTTGTATTTTTCTGTATTTTTATTTTAATTTTTCCAGTCAGATGGCAACGAATTACCTCAACCTCCTTTATCAACATTTACAAAACTTACAAGATCACAATCTCAAATAGACAAATCAACATTAATAGATTTATTGCCTCATTTAAAAGAAAATACAAATTTAACAACTCTAAATTCTCAAATATTGCTAAATTCTTCAAAAATATTACGGTCTCCACCAGAAATTATTTTAATGATTCCAAGTACTTTTAGGGAAGGGGTAAATTTTTTTAAATTAAAAAAAATATTTTTTTTAATTTTTTAAGGAAAATTATTTGTTCCAAACACTCCATAATTTATTAGAAAATATAGCAGAAGAAGAATTACATATAATTCAAATAATTATTTTAATATCTGAAAATCCGTGGGATTTAAAAATGGAAGAAAAGAAGGAAAATGTTACAAAATTAATTTATCAAAAATTTAAAAATGAAATTAACCAGGGAATTTTGGAAGTTATTTCACCCCCTATTGAATTGTTGGTGAATTTTTAAAATGTTTATTTTGTTATTAAATATTTAATAATTATGTTTCGCAAACTTGAAAAAATGTTTTTATAAAACAAGTTTTACAAACTTGTTTAGAACAAGTTTTAGGTTATATGTTTGATAAAAAGTTTTGCATAAGGTTTTTGCAAACTTGGATGTTTTTACAAACATGTTTAACATGTTTTAAAAACATGTTTTGTAGAAAATTTTAATAAAACAAGTTTTAGCTTAAATTTGTAAAACAAGTTGTAAAAAAGTTGTAAAAAATGTTTTACAAACAAACATGTTATGAACAAAAGTTTTAGTTTTTGCAAACTAGAAAAATCACAAACTTATAAACTTGTTTTAAGAAAAGTTTAACTAAATGTTTGCAACCTAGAGTAAAGTTTTAATAAAACATGTTTTACAAACTTGTTTTACAAAAAGTTTTAAAAACATGTTTTTACAACCTTAAAAAAGTTTTTAAAAAAGTTTTGCAAAAACATGTTTCTCTAAATAAGTTTTACAATCTTAAGAAAATGTTTATCAAACAAATAATTTAACAAACACAACTTTTTATAGTTTTCCTCCTAACTTGGAAAAAATAAAAACAACATTAGGCGATCCTCCTGCAAGAATGGTATGGAGAACAAAGCAAAACTTGGATTATGCTTATGCAATGTTGCATGTTTATAATTCCAAACCAAGTTCTAAATATTATGTTCAGTTAGAAGACGATATTGTTACTGTGCCTGGTAAATGTTTTGTAAAAAATGTTTCTGTTTTATAAGAAGTTGTTTAGACAAGCTTTAAAATGTGTTTTACAAACTTGTTTTATTTAAAGAAAACAATGTTTTATTAAACATGTTTTATAAACAAACAAGTTTTACAACATGTTTTATTACAAACATGTTTTATAAATAAGTTTTACAATCTAGAAGGTTAATTGTAAAATGTTTTACAAAACATGTTTTAATGTTTTGTAAACATGATTAAAATTAAGCATGTTTTAAATTAAACAAACTTGTTTTATTTAAAAAACAACTTTAATTAAAAAGTTTTACATGTTTTACAATCTAAAAAATTTTTTTTATTTAACGAACAAATGATTTTAGTAGATGCACACTCTCTAATTGAGAGGGATAGTTAAATATGCCCTTTATCTATGTAGTTTCCGGATAGTTTCAGAATAACCATAGGTTCTATAATTAAATCAAAAACTGTCCTTACAATTAGATTTTAAAAAATTTGTTTTTAAGGTTTTGTCAGCGAAATGTTACGTTTTGCAAATAATAATTCAGAAAAATTTTTTATGATTGAATTTTCAAGTTTGGGATTTATTGGTAGAATGTTTCATAATAATTATGATTTGTTACAAATGGCTCATTTTATTTTATTATTGCATACTTCATTACCTGTTGATTGGATTTTACAAAATGTAATTAGCTCAAAATTTTGTCCGATAGATGAGGGATGGCCAAATTGTTATAGAAAGGTAATTGTTGAAAACAATATTATTAAATTATTTCACAAACTAGAAAACATGTTTTGTCCGAACAAGTTTTCAAACAAGTTTTAAATATGTTAAGATAAATTTTACAAACTAGGGAAAAATGTTTTGAAAGTGTAAAAACACGTTTTACAAACCTTGTTTTTAGAAAAGTTTTAAAAACATGTTTTACAAACTAGAAAATAGTTTTTTAAAACATGTTTTAGTAAAACATGTTTTTAGATGTTTTAAATGTTTTACAAACAAGTTTTAACAAAATTTACAAAAATGTTTAAAAAACATGTTTTACAAACCTTTTTTACAAATATAGTTTAAAAACAGGTTTTACAAATAGGAAAAAGTTTTTAAGAGATGTTTTACAAAAACAAGTTTTTAGCATAGTTTTAAATGTTTTATAATCTAGACAAAAAAGTTTATATGTTTTACAGATTAAGTTTTACAAACTAGTGATAAATTTTTACAAACAAGTTTTAACAAAATGTTTTAAAATAAATTTTACAATCCTTTTTTACATATGGTTTAAAAAACAAGTTTACAAACCATAAAAAGGCTTTAAGAGATATTTTACTAAAAAAACTTTACACAAATGTTTTAAGCTGTTTTACAATCTTGAAAAAACTTTTTATTTAAACTTTTCTTTTTTTATTTCCAGAGATTGAACAATATTGTACTTTTCTCTCATAAACCACCATTATTTCAACATATAGGAATACAATCATCGCTTACTGGCAAAATTCAAAAATTAACAGAAAAGGATTTTAAACCTCAAATTCAATTTCCCTTAATTAAAAGTCAAAATTACAAAGCTACAAAATTTTATCCAAAAAATTTATTTAAAAAATTGAAAGATTTTTATTTAAATTTTACTCCTTTAAATATAAATTTAACTGAAATTGATCAAACAAATTTATTCGAATTTAATTATTTTTCAAAACCTATAGCTTTATTGAAAGGTCAATAATTTTTTAAATTACATAATTATAATATTAAAAAAATTTTAAAGTTGGGAAAAAACAATTAAGGGTAGAAAACATCGGTCCATTTTAATTTTTATAACTTTTGATTAAATTAACCTTTTTTCAAGTTTTTGGTATCATTCGATACAGAATTAAATTTGCTACAAATTAAAGTTTAATTGAAAATTTTAGGTTATTTTAAGAAAAAGTTGTGCTCTAAAAGCCTTCATAAATATGCTAAAAATGTTATTTTTTGACTGCAACTTTTTTGTCATATCATTTTAAATTTTAGTTTTTTAGGATTTTATGCTTAATTAATTCTAAATTTATTTATTTCCAAGAACGTTTTTATTTTAACAAATTATCGGGGTAAGATCCTACCGGTCCTATGCAGTAAGCTTCAAATCTGCTTCAAAAATAACCCTAATCTCTCTTAAAATTAATTAACCTATTTTTAATTAAAATTTAATTTAAAAAGTTTTTTTAGAAATTAAAATCTTCTTTTCAATTCAATTTACTGAACCATTATCTTCTGTCTGGAATTTATTACCAAAATCATTAATTAATGTCCAAATTAACCATTCTAAAAACAATTCTAAAAATATTTTTAATTCTTCAATTAACCAAAAAAATAATTTAATTGATCAATTTAATTTAATTTTTGAAGAAAACAATTTTTTAAAAAATATTACGTCTATTAAAATAATTATTGAAGATGGTAATTGGCTAAAGAAAGTTTCAAGTTTTACCTTAACAAGAATATCTGTGATTACAAATTAAACCTAAAAACATGTTTATTTTATTATGTTTGTTTAGTGTTCCAAACAAATTTTTAAGTTTTTACAAATCAAGTTTTGTAAAACATGTTTTGTAAAAAGTTTGTAAACAAGTTGTAAAACAAGTTTTTACAAATCTAATTTTTTTTACAAAAAAAAAAGTTTTGGAAAACAAGTTTTACAAAATTAATGTTTTTAGAAGGTAAGTTTTGTAAAACAAGTTTTTGCAAAAAAAAGTTTGGAAAACAAGTTTTAAAAATAAAGTTTCGTTTACAAGTTTTTACAAAACATGTTTTTACAAATCTAAGTTTCTTGAAATCAAGTTTGGAAAACATGTTCTGCGAAGGGTTTGTAAAACAAGTTTATAAAATAAGAGTTTCTATCCAAGTTTCTACAAAATCTTCTTACAAAACAAGTTTTACAAATGTTTTGCAAAACACGGTTTTTTACAAAACATGTTTTAGCGTTTATACTTAAAAACTTATTTGGCGCACAAACAGAATACGGGTGTATATTACAAGCCTTCACTTTCCTCCTTTTTCTTTCATTCCAAGTTTATTTTGAAGGATAATTTATATATCAAAAGCTTTATTTTATTTAAAATATTATTTTAAAAATTATTTTCATTATTTAATCTAACATTTTTTCATCCTTAAATTTGTATATTTATTTTAGTCAAATAATTATGTAATTTTTGTTGTCTTAACGAGAGCAAAAATTTATTTTTCATCCAAATCTTGTCCTCAATTCCTTAAAAATTTTATTTTTTTTGCCAGTAATACGTTTTTATTTACTTTAAGTTTTTCTATCATTTTCGGGTTATATAATTTTTCAAGTTCCTCCTGTAACTTTTTTTATTTACTTCCCTCAAATCTATTTTTTATATATTACTCTACAGATTTTATATTTTATTTTTTTAAAGAAAAATAAATAAATTTAAGGATTTTTGATTAAAATTATGAACAGTGTATATTTGATGCCTTTTTCGAGACAGGCCAACATTCAAGGCAATTTTTAGGGTTTGCTTTTTATAGAGTCTGCCTTTCTTTTTCTGGCCACAATGCCATGTTTGATTCGAATTGAATCGGGCCATTTTGGCAACACTAATCACGGGAAATACATATAATAATGGAATGATCTATTATTGGTAAAGTTAATTAAATTCAAGCCAACCTATTTTTTATTTGTTAGCTTCATTCTCGGAGCTCTCCTCCCTTTAGTTCCCCCTTCCTTTCCACCAGAGATGTGCCAAAACTGATTTTAAAAAGGCGTAACACCAAAAAAAGACGAAAATATAGCAAAAGACGAAACGGCACACCCCTGCCCTCTACACCCCCCCCCCTATAGTATAATATTTGTTGAATAATTTAGTAGCAGATGAATGATTTGCATGAAGAGAATATTAAAAAAATATTAAAATGATATATACAAAAGAGAAAGGTGTGATTCTTCTTTTTTTGTAGACCGCTATCCCTCCTCTTCCTACCTCAAGCGCCTCTTCACCCGCTGGGACCGAGTGTCTGTGTGTTTGTTATAAATACTTCAACACTTTAGTGTCGGCATTTTTAAGGGCAAAAAAAAGGAGAAAAATGTTTGAAAGAGGGTATAAAGTGTTGAAAATACATCAAAAGAATTTTTTGAATTTGCTTTGATTTTTAACAGAAAATAATCGAGGACTAAAATAGGAGAGAAAAACACTTGAAATAAACCGTGACAAAACGTTTAAAAATATTTATAAAGCAGAAAGGTTGGAAAGAAGGTTGGAAAGAAAGTTGGAATCCAAAT